TGGGCTCCAGAAACCCATAAACATTTTTAAATAGGGATCGCTCAGTAGAAAATAAGTCTTCTTTAAGTCCCTAATTCCATAGAAAGGTTTTTTGGGGGTACCTTCTAAAATTCAAACTCTCTGAGTAGCAGAGGATCTAGGCCACTGCCATCTTCTGGATGTGCTCCTTCCAGTGTGATATCCTTGCCAGTGTGATACCACTAAGAAGTGGAACCTTGAACAGGTGGTTAGGCCAGGAGGGCTCCTAGCTCATGATTGGGTACCCTTATAAAGAGGTGTGACAAAGAAAGCTGGCTCTCTCTTGCCCTCCCACCTTCTTGTAGGTGGGGCACAGCAAGAAGCCCTCACCAGTCTAAGTAGTGGTACCTTGACCTTAGACTTACCAGCTTCCAAGACTGTGTGAAATACATTTCCGTCCCATTTAAATCACTCAGCCTTCTGTGGTAGCAATGCAAATGGTCTGACAGTCATAGGTCACAGTCACTGCGTGAGGCTTGACTGGAACCCTAAGTTTGGGAAAGTCAGTGTGCTATGTCATCAGTCCAAGGTTTGTGAAAGTTTACTTGGTAGGGTCACACACAAGGGGGTCTGAGGCTGACTCACCATCCTTAACATGCCTGTAACTCTTACTGCACTCAGAGTAACGGGATCTCCTGTCTTTCATTATGCAGCTTGCACTTTTATATGCGATATAAGATATTTGGTTTCATTAAAAAATCCCTCAGCTTACAAAGCATGATTTCCCTTGGACACAGATGAAAACCTCTATAATCTATACATGTAGATGTAGGTAAAAGTGTTTAATGATTATCAACTTCTCTCTGCATTTTTTGAAAATTTTACCATCTCTAAAATAAACTGGCATCTTACAATCCATGAGAGCATTTTCTTTTTCTTAGCAACACATAAAGCAGTGGTACACATCACAACTAGTGTCATATCAGAAATGATTATATATAATACATTTCCACAATAAAAGTAAGCCCTTGTTCCATTTCAGTTAAAACATAACATGGAAGAAAATAACATTTCAACATCTTTTAAAAAATACATCTCTAAGTTAATACTGCTCTATATTAATGGAAGTAATTTACATCTAGGTCATCTACTTCTAAGAGATACATTTTTAGAAAGGATTGCTAGAAAGAGATGTATAGTTAGATAATATGAATTTCTCATTTTCAAAATGGTAGCCTATATAACTCAGAAATATATATGGTTTCCCTTCCTGTGTTTTGCTCGAAATAATTTACTGTCTTTTGTTGCCTTCTTTGTATATGCCTAACTTATCTAGAGTGTATCTTGATATGTGATAAAATACATTGAGCGAGATGACAGGGATAGTTTTGTGTAATGAAATACCCTGTCAGCAGAAGAAACAGACACTGTAATGAGTGTTTTGCTGACTGAGAGTCAGAGACCACATCTCACCACTATTTTTGAAAGCAGAGATGGCAAAGGAGGCAGCCTTGAGACCATGGCAGGTCCTTGTTGCCTTCCGACCTTACTTGAGTTTTTAACAAGCAAGGTCAGAAGGCAACAAGGACCTCAGGTCCTCTCAGCATTAGGAAATAAATTTAGTGACCACTCTCTCTTCACTTTTTAAACATTAAATTCTTCCTTTTCTTTCCCTTCTTTCCTCCTACTTTCTTTCCTTCCTTCCTTCCCTCCTTCCTTCCTTCTTTCCTTCCTTCCTTCCCTCCCTCCCTCCCTCCCTCCCTCCCTCCCTCCCTCCCTCCCTCCCTCCTTCCTTCCTTCCTTCCTTCCCTCCTTCCCTCCTTCTCTTTCTTTCTCTCTTTCTCTCTTTCTTTCTGACAAGTCTGGCTGTTACCCAGGCTGGAATGCAGTGGTGATATGGTTTGACTCTATATCCCCACCTACCTCTCATCTCAAACTGTGATCCCCACATGTCAAGGGAGGAACCTAGTGGGAGGTGATTGCATCATGGGAATGGTTTCCTTCATGCTGTTTTCCTGATAGTGAGGGAGTTCTCCTGAGATCTGATGGTTTAAAGGTGGGTTTCCCCTGAACTCTGTCTCTCCTGCTGATTCCAGAAGAAGGTGCATGCTTGCTTCCTCTTCACTTTCTGCCATGCATGTAAGTTTCCTGAGGCCTCCCCAGCCACATAGAACTCTAAGTCAATTAAATCTCTATCCCTTATAAATAATCCAGTCTAGGTATTTATTCATAGCAGTGTGAAAACAGACTAATACAAGTGGCATGATCTTGTTCACCACAGCCTCAAAGTCCTAGGCTCAAGCAATCCTCCCACATCAGCCACCTGAATGGCTGAAACTATGCATATGCTCCATCATACCTAATTAATTTATGACTTTTCTGTAGAGTCAGGGTCTCACTATGTTGACCAGGCTGTTCTCAAACTCTTGACCTCAAGTGATCCTCCTGTCTCAGCCTCCTAAAGTGCTGGGTTTACAGGCATGAGCCACGATGCCCAGCCAATTCTCCACTTAATAACTGAAGACATATATTGGTTATAAACCCAGTGTCTGGGTATGTATTACTAGCCCATGAACTCCAAACCACAAACACTAGAGCATGGAGGGAAAGGCCTCTCTGCGTTGAGAGTCCCTCAGGAACATGTTGCCTGCTGGGAACCTCCCATTAAAGATACTAATAATTATGTAATTAGTATCTCTCAGATATATGCTAAAACAACCCTAGGTCCTAGACAATGGCCTTATTACTTAAAAAACACATCAATGATAGACTGGATAAAGAAAATGTGGCACATATACACCATGGAATACTGTGCAGCCATAAAAAAGAATGTATTCATGTCCTTTGCAGGGACATGGATGAAGCTGGAAACCATCATTCTCAGCAAACTGACACAAGAACAGAAAACCAAACACTGCATGTTCTCACTCATAAGTGGGAGTTAACAATGAGAACACATGATATTATGCAGCAATCAGAAATGATGAGTTTGTGTCTTTTGTAGGGACATGGATGAATCTGGAGAACATCATTCTCAGCATCTGACACAAGAACAGAAAAGAAACACCACATATTCTCACTCATAGGCGGGTGATGAAAAATGAGAACACATGGACACAGGGAGGGGAGTACTAAACACTGGGGTCTATTGGGGGGAAAAGGGGAGGGCCAGTCGGGGGGTAGCTGGGGAGGGATAGCCTGGGCAGAAATGCCAAATGTGGGTGAAGGGGAGAAAGGAAGCAAAACACACTGCCATGTGTGTACCTATGCAACTGTCTTGCATGTTCTGCACATGTACCCCAAAACCTAAAATGCAATAAAAATTTAAATAAATAAATAAATAAATAATAAAAATACAATGAGAACACATGAACACAGGGAGGGGAACATCACACACTGGAGCCTGTCAGGGGGTGAGGAGCTAGGGGAGGAATAACATTAAGAGAAATACCTAATGTAGATGATGGGATGATGGATGCAGCAAACCACCATTGCAAATGTATACCTATGTAACAAACATGCATGTTCTATACATGTATACCAGAACTTAAAAGTATAATAATAATAAAAAAAGAAACAGAGCTACTATCTTCTGCATTTTTTGTGATTATAAATGTAAGGTCAAAGATCTGCAAGAAGATGTGCTTATTTTTCAAAGAGTGTATCTGTACTTTGGAACCATATTTCAGGTATTACACATTATGTTTTATCAAGCTGCAAAGAATGAGAGATGAGCACCTTTGTGCTCTTAGTATTTTTCAGAAATAGGAAGGGAGTTAGCAAAAATAATGGCATTTTTTTCTAACCATTTTCAAGAGATTTTGCGGAAAAACTGGCTTCTAAAATAATAGATCTGAAGCAACATAATCAAGAGGGCTCACAGCTAACTCTACTAGGAAGCTTTCCAGAGCCTAGATGTGGTGATGCACAATTATTACAGTGAAGGCCCCTTCATCCCATGCCAACATTTGGGAAATGACACTGGATTGAATAGTCCCAGCTTTCCTCGCTTCATTCTGTCTTGTTCTCTGACTTTCAAGATGAAGGACAGGCTTCATGTGGTTGAGATAACCAAAGGGTAGGTTCTTTGGTGGGAAACAGGCTGACTGTTGCCATGCCTTAGCGGCTCTAAAGCATGGAAGATACAGCAAGGACGCCACACACCAAATGTGCCACACCTCTGTCTTGCAGAGATACAGCAGACCTAACGGGTAGAGATCAGCAGTTTTGTGAAGGCAACATGACTTAGGATTTTTCAGTTATGTGGAAGTTAATAGCTTTTGCTCATATTCTATGAGAACATATGAGATAATTGAGAGGCTTGATGAAACGTTCTAAAGACCAAAAATCATCCAAAAACAACATTAAAAAAAGCAAAAAAAACAAAAAAATTCAAATACTGGTTCCTATAAATGTGGACCCAAACAAATAGATTAGCAAAGGAAACCATGAAATAAATGTGCTTTTCTTGGATTCAGTCTGGCTCCCAACGCAGGAAAGTTTCTCCCCATTCCAAAGAGTCCTGTACGGGAACACACACTAGGCTGTCTCTTCCTGACCCTCCTGTGACCTTGAGCAGGATCTACAGGTTGGCCCCCCATAGAGGTGAAAGTAATATCCTTCAGTTTATTCTTTTCTGATCTTTCCTTATGTCAGCCACTGGAATTATAGCTCCCAATGGAAGTTTATGGGTGTGGAAGTTCCTGTTTTATTAGTGCTACAAGGGGCAAAATATTCCACATCAAACTCTGGAGGGAAAAAAAGAATCCAAGAATAAAACAGAAACCATAAACTCCATTATCAAATCAAGACAGTTTTCTCTTAAGACCTTTCTCTTAAAACAGACAAAAAACCTATTATAGCATCCCATGTGTCTCTGTGCAAGCTAAGAGTGAAGGGATTTGAGAGAGCACAGACTAGGTTTATAAGAAAGGTTCTCATATGAAAAGGTGCAGACAGCATGACAGTGTGGTGGACAATCACCATGAGAGCATGGCTCCCATGGGCAGCATTGTCAGAGGATGGGAAAAGCAGACACTCACCGGACATGCAGAGATGCTCTGTTCCCACTGTGTCATGCTCAGGCTCTGCTCCAGGCTCGTGCACTTCTTCATCACCACGTCCCAGCCACAGTAAGGGTCCTGGGCCCCAATGCAGGTGCTGGAAACACATACCAAATTGTCAACAGAAAAGCCGCTTTACACAACATAAGATACACAAGCCAAGGCGAACCTGTCCCTTGGCAGAGAAGTATGGGATTTCTTAGCTGTGAAACCCAACGGATATTTATTTAGGCTGCAAACTGGAGAACATAGCTATGTGTATACTCCAGTAAGTATCTACTATTAAATCATTTACATAGACATTTTGAAAACTATATGTTTTAATCTAACACACATGACAGATGACCAAAGATGAGCCAACACGAGCAATTTGGTGTCACAAATAGTGCTAAAATCAAGATTCTACAAAGCTCAAAAACAGTATAGCTGTTATCACCATACTGCCACCATTATCATCCTCTTCCTCTTTATCACGGGTATCATTTGTTGAACACCTACTGTTACATTAACTATAATACAAACTATCATAGCATTAGGACACTTAAAAGATTTGATAAGCAGGTGTTATTTTCACTTTATTTACTGTTACCATCACCATAAGAACCATCACTATTACCAACACTTTATTGATGAGAAAACTGAGGCACAGAAAATTTGAGAAATTAACCCAATGACATGCAGATGTATATAAAACCCTTCAACATGAATAGTTCAAATTCAAAAAAATAGGAACATCTTCCTTTTGTTTACTGCAGCTTAAATGTATTAGAATTTTCAATAAATAGTTTCATATAGCCATGTCTATAACATCTTACATATGATATCAGAAGTACTGTGATGGTGGATATTTTCTTTATAGCTTTGTCTAGATGAAAGAGGTCATATGCTAAATGGGCGTTATTAGATGAGGACTGTGGTATTTACATTATAAATACGAAGTTAGGTAAATGAGGGATGAAGAAGACAGAGACGATAGCAATGGAGACAGAAATAAACAGAAGATAATGTCATGGGCATGCAGGACATTGAAACTGGGAATTCTGTGAATGGACCAAGAAGTCAGAGGTGCAGGAAACAGATGTGAGGAAAGAGAGGCAATGCCAGCCTGGAGGTGCTAATGCCCCCGTCATAATGCCAGCCTGGAGGTGCTAATGCCCCCGTCATAATGCCAGCCTGCAGATGCTAATGCCCCCATCGTAGAGGTAGTACGGTACTTACAGTGAGGGAGGACCTGTTATAAACTAGCCAAAAGACCAGAAATCATGGCTTAACCATCAACCCTGTCTGCAGGGACACAGCATAAGTAAGTAATGATGAGTTGTTTATATTCATAGTACAAAATAATCATTGTTAACACACCTAATGTATTCATTATATATAATGCACTGTTCTAAGAATGTGACTTATATTTGGTCATTTAAACTCCATGACAACCTTATAAATACAGTACCTCAATCAGGCACTACATTGATTCTCACTTTGAAATGAAGAAACTGAAGGAGGGGAAGATCGATTTGAAGGCTGCACAGCTAGGGAAGATATGTTTACAGTTGATAAATCAAGTGATATACAGTAAGTTATTATACAATTATCATTTATCCATTACCTAAAGAAGAGCAAGTGATTTAAAAAGGGTGCTTCTCAGAAGTAGGGCTAGGTTGCCGTACAAAAAGGTGTTAAATGATTACCTTTTCCTGTAACCTTATTAGAATTCCTTGATATGTGACCACATGCAGACATGACTTCCATTCAAAACTCAAACAAGGCAGTTATAAAAGACAAGATGAAAGCCTATTTCCTCAATAGTAGGTACTGTTTACACCAACTCACATATTCTGCAGATATTTTATCCACACATATAAGCACGTTTGTGTGCACATATCTATATAAACACATATGTATTTTGTTATTGTTTATGGGCAAATATCTGACATATATTATGTATAATTATACATAATACACACAAGTGTGATTGTACACACTGTGTCACATTTTGCTTTTTACACCCAATAATATATGATTGCATCATTCTTATCAGTAAATACGGCTCTACCATATTCCCTTTAACAGCTGTATAGTGCTCTATTTCTTTGATGAACCAACATTTATTTAAATTTCCCTTTAATTTTATTATTTTCCATGTCTTATTTCCATTGGTTATTTGGGAACAGGTGGTGTCTGGTTACATGAGTGAGTTCATTTGTAATGATTTGTGAGATTTTGGTGTTCCCATCACCCAAGCAGTATACAATATATACAGTATACAATTTGTGGTCTTTTATCCCTCACCCCATCCTCCCCTTCCCCCTGAGTCCCCAAAGTCCATTGTGTCATTCTTGTGCCTTTGCATCCTCATAGCTTAGCTCCCACTTATGAGTGAGAACTTGAGATGTTTGCTTTTCTATTCCTGAGTTATTTAGAATATTAGTTATTTAGAATAATATTCTAAATAAATAAAATGTGTTTAGAACAATAGTCTCCAGTCTCGTCCAGGTTGCTGTGAATGCCATTAATTAATTCCTTTTTTGTGGCTGAACAGTAGTCCATTGTGTATATATACCACAGTTTCTTTAATCACTCCTCGATGGATGGGCACTGGGTGGCTTCCCATTTTTGCAGTTGTGAATTGTGCTGCTATAAACGTGCACGTGCAAGTATCTCTTTCATATAATGACTCCTTCTCCTCTGGGAAGATACTCAGTAGTGGGATTGCTGGGATCAAATGGTAGTTCTACTTCTGGTTCTTTAAGGAATCCCCACGCCGTTTTCCACATTAGTGGTGATAGTTTACATTCCCACCAGCAGTGGAAATTTCCCTTTAAAAGCAAGGCTGCTGTGCTCATTTTTGTACTGGTTTCCTCTGTAAAATTTTATTCATGGAACTGTTGAGTCACAGGTCATGGGCATTATTACATTTGCACCAACAAACAGTACAGGAGTGCCTCTTCTGCCTCACCCTGTTACACACTGGATATTATCAAATTTTTTTTTTTTTTTTTTGAGATGGAGTTTCGCTCTTGTTACCCAGGCTGGAGGCAATGGCGCGATCTCGGCTCACGGCAATCTCCGCCTCCTGGGCTCAGGCAATTCTCCTGCCTCAGCCTCCCGAGCAGCTGGGATTACAGGCACGCGCCACCATGCCCAGCTAATTTTTTGTAATTTTAGTAGAGAAGGGGTTTCACCATGTTGACCGGGATGGTCTCGATCTCTTGACCTCGTGATCCACCTGCCTCGGCCTCCCAAAGTGCTGGGATTACAGGATTGAGCCACCGCACCCGGCCTATCAAATTTTTTAACTCACCCAAAAAGTGAGTCTATCAAAAAGCTGGTATGTGAAAAAAATAGAATTCCTCAATTGTCTGTTTTCATTTCTTTCAGTTGTGAGTTAGGTTAAGGCTTAGTATAGGTGCATATACTCATGAAACATTTGTATTTTCTATGTGTAAACTTCCTATTCATATCCAATTCCTGATTCACTCTCTTTCATAAATCATTCACTTTATTACATGGTCATTGGAAGGGGTGATTTTTGCATTAAAATCACCCTAAGTAATATTTTCCTGAGTAATGTTAAAATATTATAATATTACAATAATATAATATATAATATATATAACATTAAAATATTATATAATAATGTTAAAATATTACTCAGTGACCCTGAGTAATATTTTCTCTGTTTGATGTTACTTTTTTCTGAGATATACATGTTATAAAATTTTATACGTAAAATTTATGAACATTTTTCTTTATAGCATCTAATTTGTGTTCCATGTTAAGATCTTTCTCAGTTAAATCGTCCTGACTTAAACATCAAACATTATAGAAAGATTAAAGATTATAAAAACATCAACCCTCCCCCCATCCTTCTGCTTCTTCTAAGGTATCATTTATTTGCCTCCCTATCCTTTATCCATTTGAAATGTACTTTTCTTCTCCTCAAAAACAAAAAAAATAAAGAATCATAAATAGATATTGAACCTAAACATCTCAGACATCACACAACACAAACAGATTCAGGTGTTAGAGGAAGAATGACAGATATGGTTTCTTCTCCTGTTATTTAAATAGCATCTTTTTCAGACGCTACAATTTTATAACAGAGAGTGAGTGTAAGCATTTTTAAATCTCTAGCTTTGGGAATATAATTCCCAATAATGTACTATTTTAACTAAGGACAATTTTGATGATCATTTTCATTGAATAAAACTTGAACCTGTATTTTTATTGTGAAAACACATAAAAATTTCTCCGTTTTCAAGACACATAATTGATTTAATAACACTTTGTTTGTGCAGGGAATTGAGAAGATGAGACTAAATTATCATAGCCAATGACTAAGACCATGAAACGTGTGCATTTTTTATCTAGGGCTCAGCAAATTCTCCCTGAGGAACTTTGCACATGCACTGTTGTTCTGTAGAAAAGTACTCAGAGGAAGTTCCTGGCAATCTGGAGACACTTCAAGCACAACCCATGAGACAGACCTGGGTGGGTTGAGTGCTAACAGTCCTTCTGCTCCCTGCTGTGACCTCACCTGCTGTGCCAAGGAGATGGGACCTGAGAGTGTCCTCATCTTACTAAACAAGCCAAAAGTGACATATTTATATTTGCAGCTCCTAAGGCAAAACCTGAGATTAATTCTTTAATGACAAAATAACATAACGCATATTACATATGGGAATTCTCTGTGTATGATTCTATACACAGAGCAAAAGTATAGTAAGGCCAATACAGAGAGATCATTCAAAAGGCCTGCATTCCTTTTCATGTTTTGTATTAAAGCAACATGACTAGTACGTAAAATTAAACCTCCAAAAAGGGAAAAATTCCACAGACTCCCTAAGTTTACCCCAGACTTCCCGTGCAAAGCAGCTTGGAGACTTAAAACAAACCCACAGTACTAGAGGGAAGTAGTTCAGCTGTTTAAATGAAATCCTGTGTGTAATAACATCTCTTTCTTCTGATAATGCCAATGGTTCATCACGTTCTTAACATTACATTTATCCTTAAAAATTTTTAAATGTCTGTACAAACACAAATGCTCATTTAATAAAATACCATGTGTATTTAAATATAATTTCCTTATGCAAAATA